GCTAAGAACTAGAACTGGAGTATAAAAACATGAGGATTAAAAGTAGAGAGAGAGGGGCTGGAGTGATAGCACAGCGGGTAGAGTGTTTGCCTTGCACACGGCCAACCAGGGTTCAATTCCCAGCATCCCATATGGTCCTCCGATAACCGCCAGTAGTGATTCCTGAGTGCATGAGCCAGGAGTAACCCCTGTGCATTGCCGGGTGTGACCCAAAAGCAAAAAAAAAAAAAGTAGAGAGAGAGTATGGGGGAAATTGTCTGCCACAGAGGCAGAGGGAGGGTTGGGAAGGAGGATACTGGGGATATTGGTTGTGGAAAATGTGCATTGGTGGAGGGATGGGTGTTCAATCATTGTATGCTGATACTCAAACATGAAAACTTTGTAGCTGTATCTCACAGTGATTCAATTTGAAAAAAAAAAGTGAATTTCCTTCTAGCACAGGGTTCTGCTCCAGGAGTCAGTGACCTTCTTACTGTGAACCATTTATCTCACACACGAGTCTATTAACCCACAGTCTATCATGAGTGATGACCTTCAGGCAGTATTGCATCTTTATTGCCCATCTGTTTGTAGATAACTTAAGATCAGATTTGTTTATTTGTTTATCTACTTGGAGGTCCTCCCAAGCTGTGGCAGAGGCTAAGAACCACTCCCGTGATAACTCACCTGACTGACTTGGGTAGTTCGAAGCTTGGACCCAAGGATGTGGTGCTGCCAGGGCTGAGCAGGAGACCACTGGGACCACCTTCCTGGGAGAAGGGGCCTAAGGCTTATACTCGGGACCACGAGGTCCTGGGAATTAAAGTCCCTAGCTCTCATGTTATCAACCCATTCTTCATCATTTTATTTATCCATCAGGCTACTTCTATTTCCCAGTTAATGTTAATTTAGCAAGTTTTTAAAAATATATTTTAATATCAATGCAAGTGGAGTAGATTTAGAGAGATAAATAGGGTTGTGATAAAAAAAAGATGACTCACGGGCTATTATAAAGACACATTGGTTTATATATTTGTTCTGTGCCCTGCAGAACTGAGATTTTCATTTTTGATTTTTTTTTTTTTGCTTTTGGGGTCACACCTAGCAATGCTCAGGGGTTATGCCTGGCTCTGTACTCAGGAATTACTCCTGGCGGTGCTCATGAGACCATATGGGATGGTGGGAATTGAACCTGGGTTGGCAGGGTGCAAGGCAAACTCCCTACCTGCTGTGTTATCGCTCCAGCCCCAAGTTTTGATATTTTTTTTTAAATAGAAATAAGCCATGGCAGTTTTACCAACTTCAAATCACATGTGGACACTAATCTCCGAGAGAAAAGGATGCTTGCCTATGGTTGAAAAATAAGCCAGTTACCCAAGCAGATGGGGGACCTTCTGATCCATGGTAACACCATCCCAGGAGGGAGTCTGAGTGAGACACTGTGTCCAAGGAGGGGCAACTAAGCTCGAGCACAGATGCCTAGCACACTCTGCAGGACTGAGCCGGTGTGCCCTGTCTCTGTGCCCTGCTGCCCCTGAGTCTTGGTCTTCCCTGCAGAGAGCAATCTGGCAGAGGGCAGAGCCAACTGCCTCAGTTGACCTAGTCCAGGAGTAGGGACAGAACTGGTAGTACATCGAGGAAGAAAGCATGTTGGGACGGAGACCCACTAACACCAGGCTGAGAGTGGGGATGAAAATAAAGTGACAGAATCAGACCAAAAAAGCATGAAAACTTTTGTGAGAACAAAAATTGAGAGACTAAGTATTTTCATCAGCACCCACCGCACTCCTATCACTGACAGCAGCACCTGGTACTTCTCAGGGCATATGCGTTTGTTCCAGAAACAAGTAGATAAATTCACCTATGAGAGTTACATTGCATGCATTTTTGGAGGAAAAAAAAAAACTATGACAATGATTAGGTATAAAGGCTAAACTAGAATGCTTCGAAGTGCAGTGGAGGATGGGAGCAGTTTTTTGGTTTTTTTGTTTTGTTTTGTTTTGTTTTTTGTTTTGTTTTTTTTTTCTTTTTGGGTCACACCCAGCGATGGTCAACGGTTCTTCCTGGCTCTGCACTCAGGAATCACTCCTGGCAGTGCTCGGGGGACCGTATGGGATGCTGGGAATCGAACCTGGGTTGGCCCAATGCAAGGCAAACGCCCGCTGTGCTATTGTTCCAGCCCCTGGAGCGGTTTTTAACAGTGAGGAATAGCAGGGGATGGGGTGGTGGGGGTAGGGAGAGCCAGGTCTCTACCTAAGAGACCTCACAAGGCAGAATTCTGGTTTTCCTAGTAAAGGGACTTAAGGTCTTTGCTTACATAGAACAAGCAAAAAGCTGATCCTGCAGTTAAACTAGGACAATAAACCAAATAAAAAAAGGACCTCAGGAAAGCTAGGTTTGCACCCTGAGCCCCCAACAAAAAGATCTCCAACTCTGAACCTGCAGGTATTTAGCATTAAAATAACAAAAAGGCATAAGATTGCTGATAGAAATGATGAACTCCCATTTAAATGGAGAGACCAGACTGGGTTATCCTGTGAACCCGACATAGTCACAAGGATTCTGGAACATAGGTGAGGACTGAGAAGTCAGAAATGTCAGAGTGAGCAGATGGGGGAGGAGAGGCCCTGAAGGTAAGAGTAAAACCAACATGATTGCCACTCAATGCCTCTTTTGCAAACCACAGCACCCAAAAGGAGAGAGAGAACAAAAGGGAATGCCCTGCCACAGAGACAGGGTGGGATGGGGGGGGATGGGGGGTGGGAGGGATACTGGGATCTGTGATGGTGGGAAATAGGCACTGGTGGAGGGATGGGTATTTGATTATTGTATAATTGAAACTCAAGCACAAAATTTGTAAGTCTGTAACTGTACCTCATGGTGTCTCACTAATAAAAATTTTAAAAAAAAATCGAAGCCAAGGAGTGTGGCAGACATTAAAGCTGGAGAAGACAAATGGATTCTTCACGGGAGCCCCCAGAAATAACACAGACAGCCCGCCCCACATGAGGAGCCCTCACCTCTAGGACTGTAAGATTAAAGACTGTGCTGATGAAATGGAGAGACAAGGAGTTAGGGCACTTGTCTTGCATGCAACTAACAGCACCTCATACAATCCACTGAGCGCAGTCAGACGTGATCCCTGGGTGCAGCCCCAAAACAATAACAAATGATTGCCAGTGGGTTCACAAGATGATTCAGCAGGGGCCACGAGAGAGTAAGGCTCTTGCCTTGCACACAGCTGACTAGGGTTCGATCCCCAGCATCCCCTAATGATTCCTGAGCACCACCAGGAGTGATTCCTGAACACTGAGTCAGGAGTAAGGCTTGAGCATCACCAGGTTTGGCCCAAATTTAAATAAATAAATAAATAAATAAACTAATAAACAAAAATTCAAGCTGGCTCAGTAGCGAACAGCAGCTGCCTTGCAAGCATGACTCCCTGAGTTGGATACCTAGGACCATCCTGATGTGCCTATCACACCACTAACCTGGCAGCTTTACTCTCTGGAGCCCCCAATGCTGCCCCAGAATATGCAATCCCTGGAACGCAGCCAGGCATTCACAGAAAGTGTGTGACCCTCAATGAGCACAGCTACCTATGTACAGTGCATGACATATGATAACGATGTATGATGCTAGGATGCACCCCCATGCCAACCAGATTGTGAGCAAGCACCACCTTAAGCTGCCACGTTTACGGTGACTGAGGCCAAATGACATTAAAAACAGGCAGACACAAACCAAAGAAAGCTGCAGAATCCTAACTCCTCGGAGAAGATGGGAGAGACGCTGAGCATTGGGGTTGTCCTCGAGGGGCTGGAGAAAGAATTTCTGCAGAAGGCAGCAGAAACAGATTGACATTTGCCTCCCCCAGAATGTGCACCTAGGGACCTAGACCTTGTTCTAAGTTGGGTAGTGCCAACCCTAAATACCTAGGTTAACTCTGTAAATTCAAGTCCCAGCATCCAACTTTGAGCTTCCCATACCTCCGTTTACTGGGGAAAAGAATCTTCGCGGAGGTAATCAAGACAAAGCAAGTTTACCAAAAGTTTACCCCAGCGTCATGGGTTAGGTAAATTGCCAAAGGAGCAATTTGAAGGCAGCCGCATCCAATGACAACAACGCTACCCGCAAGGCACAAACAGAGGCTGGAGCAGACCCATCCCTCATGGTGCCCGGGGGGAAGCTTGCCAGCACCTGATAGATACACTGAGCTTACTGCTACCGTCCTTGGGACTATGTTGGGGGCCCCCTTTACAGCCCTCTTAGGGCGCTGAGGATGGAGCTGTGCTTCTCAGCAAGCAGCCGCTGAGGGATCAAGCTGGTCCTCCACCCTGGGAGCCGCAGCCTGGCTGCGGGGCAGGGACCGCAGGTGGACGGACACTCAGAGCTCTCCTGCGGGGCTGCTCTGCTCTCGCAGCACCTACTCTGGAGCTCCCGGAGTGGCGGGGGACGGGCTGGGATGGTCTGAAGTGCAGGAGAACCTGACATGGAGAATCCCTTCCAGCCGGAAACGGGCAAGAACGGAGGCTCTAAGGCGGGCGACGACGAAGGATCCGGAGTGAGAAGGAGGCGCTCAAGAAAAGACGGGTTCGGACGGGCACACAGCGGGTGCCGGGGCCAGGCTGGGAAGCGCGGTTGCAGGCGGAGCATCCTTTCCGTAACGCACCCACCACCACCCAGGCGCCTTCTTTTATGATTTGCAACGACGGGGAGCAGAGGTTCAGAGCCCACACGCCCGAATCCACTTACACGGTCCAGTTTCCCCGGGACAAGTGGTTCCTGCGTCCGCTTGCTCGGTCCCGGGGTTCCCCGAGGAGCACCCGCCGCCCCTCCTCCACCCGGCACCCAACGAAACGCACAAGATGCAGCTTCCCAGCAAAGAACAGTGCAAACGGAAAGCAAACCACCAACCCCTGCAGCGGTCCCGCTCCCAGCCTCGGGGCTCCCGGGAGCCTCCACCTGCCTCCCCCTCGCCTCCCACCTGAGCAGAACCCCCCAGACCACCAGTTCACTACCGTGTCCTGCTTCCGGTCGGTCTGGTTCCAGATGCATCTGGCTCTGCCAAAGGTGGGTTTCTTTCTTTTTTTTTTTTTTTCTGTTTTAAAAGGGAACGAAAGGAAAAGACCAGTTGGTGTAGGGCAGGGTGTGCCAGCCTCAAGGAAATGTTTTTCCAGTCCCTCCTTCCCACTGGGGCGTGGCTGCCAGCAAAGGATGGAGTTTGGGCGGGACCCCCACAAAGGCAAGTCTGCGGGCGCACCGGCTTCCGGGACTCGCCGCCGACCAGCCAGCTGGGAGCCCGTGCCAGGACTGTCCCGGCTGGACGAGTGACAGATGTCCCCACTTCTTTCCTTCTCTGACGCTTGGCAGGTGCGCGACGCTGGGGGAGACGCTGGTCCCGGCGAGCGAGAAACGGCGCGGAGACGGGCAACAGCGCCTCCTAGTGTCCGGTCCCGCCGCTGCTGCCCTCGCGGAGCCCTGCCTGGGACGGTCGCCTGCGAATTGATTGACATTCGACCGGAGGAGTCCCAGGCACCCGCAGGAAGTTTTTGCAAGGATGAATGCAAATGAAACTCCCACGGGGGCACTTAAAACGCGTCCTCCCCCCCCCCCCATCCCGGTGGCACATCTAGGGGGAGAAGAAGAAACAAGGACCTGGGTTAGCTACCCCCGGGGATTCACAATTGCCCAGTGTCCATCGGGTTGGCACCTTTGAGCTCGGGGCTGGGGTCGGTGGCAGAGAAAGAGAAAGACAAAACATACGTGGACGGTCCAAGCTGTCGGGTCGTCTAGGCAGTCGTCGGTGATCTCCGGGGGCATTTATGCAGTGTAATGTTGCTCCCGCGTTGTTTCCGTTCACAGGCACCAACGACAGACCTTGGGGACAGCCCATCAACAGTCCTTGGGGACTGGAGGAGCAGAGGGGTTCGGTGCCAGTCTGCGGGCTTCTCAAAGACCCCAAACGCTTTCTACTATTCTCTTAAAATAATTTTTTTTTTTTTTTTGCTTTTTGGGTCACACCCAGCGATGCACAGGAATTACCCCTGGCGGTGCTCGGGGGACCATATGGGATGCTGGGAACGGAACCCAGGTCGGCCGTGTGCAAGGCAAACGCCCTACCCGCTGTGCTATCACTCCAGCCCCTTAAAATAAAAATTTTAAGAGATTCTATTTTTTTTCCTGGGTAAATCAAAATTTTTAGAGACTGTTTTTTTCAAGGGTAAATTAAAATCAATGAACCTCAATCAACTCATCAGTTACTCATTAGCAAATCCTTTACATTCTAAGTCCTAAACTATTTCAACCAGGGGAAAATTCCAACCTTAGGGGTTTTATTGTTTGGTTTGGTTTGGTTTGGTTTTGTTAAAGGACCGTTTTCCCCATATCTTCCCCCTTTTTATATTTTAAATGAGGACTATTAGTCAGAGGACTATTAGAATGGGAGTGTTGCCACTTCAACTTCTGGGAGGGGTCCATCTGGTAAGTGGGGTTGGGGGGGGAGGACCAATCTGAAGGGTTTTCTTGTTGTTGTTGTTGTTGTTGTTGTTGTTGTTGTTGGAAGGATTTTGCGCAATCACTGGAAACAGCAGGAAAAATTAACTGCTAGAAGCAATCCGAATCAGATGTTGGCACCTACCACTAGTTTTTGTAAGGAAATGTGGGCTGTGGGTAATTTGACTTAGTTCACATGCAGAAGATCCTGCACCAACAGACACTCAATGGGGAACAGGGGGGCAGAGGAACTAGAGACTGGGGTACCTTGGGGTACCTTGCATTTGAGTCTTCTCTATTTCGAGTTTTCTTCAGAATGCTTTTAAAATTGAGTGACTTATGCTTTGTGAATGTTAATGGCTCATGTGGCTAGAAGAATTTTAGCTCATTGTAAAACACGAAGTTTCATCAGTTACTTATTCTTTTATTTTCTGTTTTAAGGGACTACATAAAACCAAATGAACTTCTCTGAGGCTACTAAGTATGTAACCTTGCCTCTTTGGGAGTTACTTGATTTTCCTAATTCCTGAAGAACCCTGGCATATGCTAGATAAACACTCTAATATGTAAAATTTCGTTTTTTTTTTTTATAATTTATTTCTTTATTGAATCACTGTGGGAAAAGTTACAGAGCTTTCGGGTTTAGGTCTCAGTCATGTAAATATCAAACACATTTCCCTTTACAAATACTTATTTTTAACTGCGAACCCCAATAGAACCCCACCTCCCACCCCTCCCAATTCCTGTGAGGCAGATTAGTTCTAGTTAATACTCTATCTACTTTGGCTAGATACATTGTTTCGATAGAAGATGCACAATTATTGTTTAGAGTTTACGACCCCCCCCCCCCCATCAGACATGCTGAAACAGCGTTGTGAAATGATTTGCTTTCTACAACTTGGTTTAAGAATAAAATGATGTTTTGGATTTCTGCTACTTTACTTATTAACCCTGGAAGAATTTCTATTAAAAGTTAGATAGTTAAGAGATTGGTTTCTGTGCTCTGGAGTCGTGGCCGTGCCGGAGAGCCGCTCGTGGGGGGCAGCTGGCGACCTCAGTCGGGCGTGAAGGATGGCCCATTACACCCCCCTTCCCATGAGCTCCCTGCCGCTCCCACCACCCCCGGCTCAAACCTGCTGTCCACAAGGCTCCTGTGCGAGTGGGTCAACACCCTTTCCCCTCCGGGCAGGCACGCTGGCGGGGTTTAACACATAGTCCATTTGCTTTTCTGCTCCAAGCGGGTGGCTCTCTGTGCTAAGTCCTTGTGCCTCTGGGGCCGTGGCCGTGCCGGAGAGCCGCTCGTGGGGGGCAGCTGGCGACCTCAGTCGGGCGTGAAGGATGGCCCATTACGCCCCCCTTCACGTAAAATTTCGTTTTAAAATCTAGTTCTTGTTCATGCCAGAGAGATAGTACAGTGGGCAGGGCAATTGCTTTTTTCACCCAGTTATGCCGAGTTCGATCCCCACCAACCCTTATCATTCCCCAAGCCCCACAGATATTAATCCCTGAGCTCATCCAGGAGTAAGCCCTGAGCACTGCCATGTGTGACCTTAAAACAAAAACAAAGAAAATCTAGTTAGTGTCAAAGGCGAGAGTTCTCCATGATCTAGAAATTTTAAAAGATGATAATACAAAAACAATGAAGTTGCAAACATTTGAAAGGAAGGATGCTTTAATTAAATTCTCTGTATAGTTTTTAATTCCTGAGACAAAGAAAAGACCAGAAATTGTAATGTCTCAACACAGCTGGAGACAAACATAAGTTAGACTGGCGATTTACATTCATGGGAGGTCACTTCCATACATGTAGGTATGAGTAGAGCATGTAGGTATCTGTGACTTCTCTTTCCTCTCCAAGGGCTTATCATTGGGGGAGGGTGCAGGGGGCTTTTTGAGTCACATCCAGCAGTGTTCCTGGTTCTGCACTCAGGAATTACTCCTGGTGGTGCTGGAGAGACCATATGGAATGCCGGATATCAAGTGGGTCGCATGCAAAGCAAGCAACGCCCTACCCACCATACAAAAACTCCAACCCCAGCTTATCATTTTAATTAGTACTGCTACCTCAAATTTCTGAGTCTTGGACTTGTTTTAACAATGCTTCAGTTCCCTCCTCCCTCCCAGATGAGGTTATTTAGTCTCACTATTAGTTCCAAAAGTGTTTAATGATTACCCATTATCCACTCTGGCCACATTAGGTACTGAACAGCAGGAAGTTGGGCCGAAATGTACATGGACTAACTCTGCCTGAGCTTCTGTGGGATTCTGCTGGCTACTTAATGCTCATCAGTCTTCCTGCCACATGTTATTATCTGATGCCTCCTCTCTGGATGATCAATCCCAGACTGTGAGAAGGAATCCCAGCTTAAAGTCTGGGGGGAGAGGATATCTCTGGACCAATTGACACAAGACTTGGCAAAATCCCCCCGGAAATCTCCTAAGGAAAAGGTGACTCAAAGCATAAAGTCTTCAAAGCCCCAAGAATAGCTTGGTGTTCAGCACTTTATCTTTTAATTCATTTGTTTATTCTGTTTTGGGGACCACAGTTTACTCCAGGCTTTGCTCAGGAATCACTTCTGGCAGGCTTTGGGGATCATGTGGGATGACACGTGGCCAGGTCAAGCACATTCAAGGCAAGCAAGCACCCTACCTGCTGTACTATTGCTCCAGCCTCTGTATCTCAAAAAAGGAAATTATGAGTAAAATTGAGAGTAATGAGAGAGGCAGACAAGACATACATACATTATATTAAACCTTAAACAGGACACTGTAGCACTGTCCTCCCGTTGCTCAAGCGGGCCCAGTAACGTCTCTGTTGTGAGACTTGTTACTGTGTTTGGCATATCGAATATGTCATGGGGAGCTTGCCAGGCTTTGCTGTGCGTGCGAGATACTCTCGGTAGCTTGCCGGGCTCTCTGAGAGGGGCGGAGGAATCAAACTCAGGTTGGCCCAGTTGGCCGTGTGCAAGGCAAACGCCCTACCACTGTGCAATCACTCTAGGGCTTTCTATCACAGATGGACACTGCTTTGTCTAAATGCATAGCCCCACATTGCCAGGAGAGGGCAGCAGGAGACACCAATGAAAGCCCAGTCCACAGACTCCCAGGGCAACCTAAAAGGCTTGGCGCAGGGAAACAGCATCTCTGCTGGGGACTTGGAAACACAGTTCCTGGGGCATCAGCTGGCACTGGCGTGGGACTTTTCAGGTACTCGGAGAGCCAGAGACATCAGCCCAGAGAATCTGGATTCCCTTTTCAGAGAAGGAAGAGGGGCTCTGGGCTAGAGCTGGAAAACCCTTGGGAAATATTCCACTGTGCTGAGACCTTTTTAGGAACCAGAAAGAGAGGCTTGTCAAATCAGCCAGCGGTTCTGCAACAGATAAGACAGGGACAAGAGAACAAAGGCGGGTTCTATTGGAAGAGCTCCATGTTTATCCCAGGCAATGTGATTATGTATGTATAACTTTCCATGGGCAGGTGTTGTTCTTTTGTTTTTCTGGGGATCCACAGCCAGTGGTACTCTGGGCTTACTCCTGTCTCTGTGCTCAGCAATTACTCCTGTCAGGGATCCGGAATCCA